ATTAATCCTGTTAAATGTTCAGCTTCTTCCACTGTATATAAATCTCTCCAATATGCACGATGCTTATAATCATCTTTTGGAGCATATAAATATGAATCCATTCCCCATTTTTTTAATCTGAAAATTAATAAATGAAAAGATTTGAAATAATATTATAAATATTATTTTAAAAATTGAAAAAAAAACTGATTTAATATATTTACTTTTGAATAAATCTTTTCTTTGTTCTGTGGTCCAAGGTCGCCCATAAAATCCTGAAATATCAAAAAATATATTTTATTCAAACAATAAGAACTACTGTAATGAATAACGCATTCCAATCATTCCCCCTCCTACGCAAAGCCATCACAAACGATGATTACAATACGTATTACATAGAACAGAACAGCCGTTTATGTACCTTCAACGACACCGCAAATAAAATTGTCGTTTTTCGTATTTATATTTGCGGCCCCATTTGTCTCCGCCATTGCGGATCACAAGAGGCACAATTGTTTAGTATAGAACTACAAAAATGGCTATAGTAGTAGTCCGATGCAAAATGCTCTCGTTTCTTGAAAGAACGGAAAAAGTAATCGTTGCAAATACTATCTTCTTTGCAACACAATCTTGTTCTACGAACGTCACGACAGCATTACTCGTTTTCTTCAGGAAAAAAAAAGTTTATTCGGAACGATACAATTCCGATATAATAAAAACCTCGTCTCTCGTATACTGACAGACTGCACCCGCTGTCTGATCGATACTAAACGATTTCTCGATCCATCGACTATACGCAGAACGATTAACGGAAAGCTCTGTTGGATAGTGGCGACATCTGAAACTTAAATCAAGAATACGTGTTCGAACGTGCAAGACCTCTGTCTATACTTTGTGAAATTTTTGTGTTTATTCGAAGAATATTATCAGTTTTATTGTGTATTCAAAGTTATTGCAATTTTTGAGTGTAAGTAAATGTGATAATAAGATAATCGATAATAACAAAATATAATTTTGTGTATTTATTATGTGATAAAAGCATTCTTTATTTTTCCTTGTAAATGACTCTAAACTAAAATTAGAAAATGATTTATTATTATTCATGATAAATATTTACTTTAAAGAAAATATTTCTAAAAGAATAGAGATTATAAATCGCAATCAGATTATATATTAATTAAGTTAATATGTTCTTTACAGATGGAAAATTTAAAAGAGAAAGAACATAAAAAAGTTCCAGCGAGCACGAGAAAATATCGTAACAGATACTTCACGTTATGGGAATCGAACTTCCAAAAGCCTATGTGATTTCAAAATTAAGAAAGACATATATCAAAATAAGGTAAGCCATATGAAACTTTTCATATGAACACTTTTTTATTAAGTTATTAAATTATACTATGACGAAATATGATAAATAATATAATATTATCTATGCTTCGTGATATAAGATTTTATTAATTTTAATTGTTGAAAAAAAGAAAAAATTACAATTATAAAAATGACAAAGATCTTATATATTTCATAAGCATATAATTTTATGTAAAGAAATCAGCTTATATTTAAAATAATTAATACATATCATTATAAATAATATACTATTGTATAGGCAAAATTTATATTTATTCCCACTTTTTATCTATATAAAACATAAATTCACTAATGAAAACATAAGAATATTTGTGCATTAATCGTAAATCAAACTTACAAGAGAATTTCCCCTATGTATTCATACTGGTTTTATCAGTGGCATCGATTAAACGTAGTCAAGGTATATGTGATTTCGGTATCGTATAACTTTAGTGTTAGTGGCGCAGGAAACACCACATAAAGCATAGTCCTGCAATACTCCTTTATACACGCAACGAATGTTCAACAGATAACAATATCATAAATAGAAGTATTATTAAAAAAGATTAATTGTAAAAAAATAATGATGAAAAGATATATTTTTGCATTGTTGTTATTTAATTGGTATTTAATAATAACGATTTCTAATGTTATTTAATATAATTTAAATAGGCTAATATTACTTAAAATCAAATTTTAAGTATATATGTCTATTTTTATTGAAAAAAAGTAGAAATAGATTAGTACGATAATGATTATAAATATTCAAGTTCTCTTATTTATATATTGTATATATTTCGATATATGCAGAAACGATACATGCGCTGTTCGATATTTTTTAAAAAAATCAGTTTCTCGAATTTCTATCGAATGTAATGCATTTGACAATTTGTTTTAAAACGAAGCATAAGTTAGAAGAATATACGAATATTTATTTTCCTAGAGTTACGTAACAAAATGTAAACATTTGAACATGTGAAATTTGAATTTTTATGTTTCTTCCTCTGATAAGAAAATATAATCCCTTATAATATAATATAAATCAAAATATATCTTTCGATAAACTTCTAACGGATCGTGTTGCGTATCGAATAATCACACAAAATACTTGATAGAAATTATTCATAAAATTCTAACCATGAAAAAAAAAGTATCAAGTGGTAAGGGACAAGGTGCAATTCCGTCCGAAAAATGTTATATAGTACGTGGTACGTGGGTTAGCGCATGCGTGTTACGTTGAAATGGAAGGGTCGACGAATCGTTTACCACAAACACCGCGAGGAGGCGCGATGATCGTACCTCTAAAGAGGGGTGTAGTTTTTTTTCGAACAAATGGTGGGGGTGTCGAAGGGGCGGGTATGGCCCGTGGTCGTAACGACGGAGCCGTATCAGTGTGAGGCCGGCTATCAGCCGCCTAACATCGAGGTCGGGGTTACGCTTGTATACGTAACACGGCTGCCGCAGGCACCCACACACATACACTTGCGACACCCGTGCACGGATTCTCGCGGATTCTCTTGTCGTGGGCTAGGCGAGCAGAGGGATCTGCGAACTGTTCACGCGGGGAATCCTTTTCGGCTGTCAACGGGTGGGCAGCCTTTCTCAATGCAGTATGCGTCATAATCGATAAGGGCAGGAGCGGGGCGCGTGTATGGGATCGTCTTAAAGGAAACGTCGCGCCCTTTGTCGAAATGAATGAAAGTCGCGAGAAAGGAACGGAGAGAAAGAGAGGGAGAGAAAGAGAAAGAGAGTGTGCGATTGGGCGAGGTGAGTGCGAGGATGCGTGGAAGGGAAGGAGAGAAGCATAAGGAATCGTAGGTGTCGAGGTTAAGGGAAACCGTGGCTAAAGGACGACACTGGGGTGGGGGATAAGACGAAGTTCGCGCGCGCGTGTGTCTCGTAACAGAAAAAAAGAAAAAGAGAAAGAAAGAAGAAAAAAAAAAAACAAAAGTCACAGTACAACGACACACTCGACATCGTGGACATCGGGATTGCTCGATTCTTCGTAACGAGTCTCTTTTCGTTTGACTGTCGCAGAGAAGGATCAACGGTGCGCCATACGTCGAAATACGAACAACCGGCCCCCGGAAGAGTGGAGTGTGGACGACGTAAAAAACTGTAGACAGGACGATTTAAAAAGAAAGAGAGACAGAAAATAAAGAAAGAAAGGGAAAAGATAAGAGAGAGAGAGAGAGAGAGAAAAGAAGGTGGTGGTATCATCGTGGGTAAGGAAACTATGCGTAACATAAACGGGTCACGCGAGTAAGCCGTGTTATCGGTGTCCCGTGCTTCCAGGGGGAAGTATCGAGAAGCGGTGAGTGCGGTATCGAGAGTAATTAAGCAGTCACGGGATTACTCGGTAATAATGGCTGATCGCGATTGACTGAAGCAGACAGGGCAAGAGTGTGTGCGCGGCCACTTTGGTTACATTTAGCCGAGTAACGACGCGATAGAACGACAGAAGTACGGAGTTAGATAAAGAAAAAAGAGAGAGGGCAGACGAAAATAGATAGAAGAGAATAGAGAGAAAAGTAATTGTCGAATAAACGGCGGGATCATAATCGAAGAAAATCAGATGTCGTTAGCGGTCGTTGCACAGAACCTGGAACGGATATATCGTTAGGAACAGAGTGTGAATCGAGTGAGAAAGCAGCGTGGAACGAAATTCTTTGTGATCGTGGCCAAACGTCGATACCCTTCCTCGTATCTGTCGCCGAGGCAGAAGAGAGTCGATGGGCCTGCGAGGAACACGGTTGGATCGTGTCGAAGCGTGGCAGCGAGGAGCAACGGAGCACGACTCGAGGCGGGCAGATGATTTTCGATCGATCGACGGTCGCACGGCATCGAGACTATCGCGCCACCGAGTTTCGTTACGTGTATAGGTTGCCATGCCGTCGAACTGCCGTCGGAGATGCGCATCGACGTTCAGTGACGACGATACTTAGTTGAGCATGTGTCATTTTTGACAGGATCGAACAACAGGGAAGAACAACGGTCGCCACGACATCTGGTCCTTTCAAATGATGTTTGGATACATTCTCGACGGAGAAGGAGAGACGGGTGATTAGTGACAAGGAGAAGGAAAGAGAGAGAGAGAGAGGAAGAACAGGAGGAGACGAAGAAAAAGTGTAAGGAGAAAAAAGAAGGCAGAGATTCGGTGGTAGCAGAGGATAAAAAGAGAGGATGGCACTTCGGTATTTGTGCTTGGCCAAGCCGAATGTGAAGAATCGCGTTGTGAACGCGACAAAACGCAAGGAACGAAGCGAGGTGAGGAAGCACGCGACCGAAACAACCCGTTTCCCGCGACTCGTAGCCGTGTCTCGTTTCTGAGGGGCGTCCCATCGACGTAGTTTTTATGTGTCCTCCTCATCAGAGCGGCGACGAGCGAGAGGATTCGGCACATTGCCCGTCGGTCGCACGTGCGCATTGATGGTCGACAGTGAAACTCCTTCCAGAGGCAGATAGACGCGGAATAATCCTGTGCTTTCTCTCGTGACGAGTTTTTGTGTCAAACAGGTGAGAGATACGGCCTTCACGCACAAGGCTGGCGAACGAATCACGCGCATTCCGTCCCAGAACGAATATTAATAAATATATATATCCATAAAAAATATATATATATATATACATATACATATATAAAACAGGAAAGAAAAGGAAAGAAAAGAGAGAAAGAATTGAGCCCTGAGTGTATATGGAGCCCTTCGAGAACGGGAATTGTTTAAACGGCCAACCATCGTGTCCCAAAGAGAATAATCGGTGACTAGTCGTACCAATCGTGTGCAACGTGGTGAGAGTGACAGAGAAAGGAATAGAAAGAGAGGAGGAGGGCATGCTCGGTATACGAGGTGGTGTGATCGTTTCTGAGCGAGCAACGGCAACAGCAGCAGCACATGCTACGGTGATCCGTATCAATTCGCGACTGTGATTTCTAAGCTTAAGGTTATAAACAAAATATTAAGAAAAAAAAAGAAGAGCAAGAGAGGAAGGAGAAGAGGCGGATGAAATATATAAATTATATAATAAAAAAAAAAAAGCAAGATAGAGAAATATAAAATCGTCCATTGTGATATTAAGATATATTAAAGGAAGATTAGGTGAACATGTGCGTTTAAGGAGATGGGTGTGAATGAAAGGGGGCGCGACACAGAGTGTGCCAGACTGAAATGCGAGTGTAATTAATGGAAACAATGGTCGATCGCGGGGCATGCGTTGGATCTATAAACTGTGATACACTGATAACCACACCGAAGAGAGCCTGATGTTCGATCACTGACGTCGAATCGCGTGTACCGACCTATCTGGAAACAAAGTGGGATGAATCGCCGGTTTCGAATCACGTTCTTGACCACCTCGTGATTCATTTCGTAGGTACATATTAATTTCACATCTATTCCTCGTTATCCCTCACTCGGTATTCTTAATATCATGGGTACTAAAGCATGAGTTACATTGTGAATTAGGTTATTTTTAAATCTTAGGATAATTCGATCTTGATACGATAAATGTTGTTAGTGAAAAATTACATTTTTATGTATATTCTATACAGCATAAAATGAAAAATAAGATGAAGTATTGAAAAATGAGATAATTTAATACAAATTATTGTTGGTCATCTAATATGATATATCTATTAATCAAGGATTAATAATGTTAATAATTTATTAATAATATTAGCAACTCTTTGAATTGAATTCTTCTTCTTTTGTTTGTTTGTTGACAATTTCATTTGATGAGATTTTCAATTATCTTTATCATTTAGAAAGATTGGAATATCACGATGCTAAAACATGTATTATACATTAAATAAAAGAAAAAAATATTGATCAATTTTTTGAGTGTCGATAAATAATTAAAACTAAGCAAAGGGAGATGAAATGGTTGGTTGAAAAACAGGTTGAACAACATTTCATGAAAATTAATAAATTATATATGAGATAATTGCTTTGCATTAAAGTTTTGTATTTGTGTTTCCCTCTTGTTTTTTCCCTCTGCGAAATGGGGAAAAGCTTTCTCATGTTCTGAATTTTTGAATTGTGTCTATTTATCCCATTTGCAGATGTAATAAACGGTAATAAAATAAATATTTGAAATAGTATACTAAAAGAAGGTGTTAAAGCATTGCTTGGAAATTCTTTTTGTTATTCAAATGTTGCTTCTCTATTCGAACACTCTTGACTTTGTTTTCGCTTTATCATTGCAAATGAGCTACGTTTAAAACGTTTCCGGGATCGCAAATCAACACCGTGTTCTGATCAATGATAAAAATCACACGTGTAAATTAAATATCGCGGGAAAATTACACGAAACTCGTGCCACACGAGTTGACCAAACAATCGTACTTCTTTAAAAATAGAAAAAGGATTGCTGCAATCATATTCACGTAACATCAATTGCTCGCTCCTTTATTATCTTGCTTTGAATTAGATAAGATAATTTTGATTGATGATAGAAACATAATAAATATTGTTTGATCATTGTTTATATATTTATTTTGTTATTGGATAACATATTTATAGTCGAAGCACGTGGAATTTCTACAACGATTAGCACGAAAGCCGTTTCTTGAATAAATTAGAGTGATGAATGTGGAACAAAGTTTTTTTTTTTTTTCGTAGAAAGCTTCGTTGTAGGAGGAATCGATTTTGAAAATTCGTCGAGTACGCGCGCACTTGAACAGGTTGGATAAAATGGAGCAGCAACTCGGCCAGCCATCGTTCCATTTGATTTTTATTCCTGAGGCTAATGAAAGAATTTATACTATCGCTTTTTTAGTTAAAAAAAAAAATCTTATATTGATAATGTTCTCGTATACATTTTTAATGATTGACGACTTGAAAAAAATTGAAAATTTAAGATTATTTACAATTTTTCATTTTTCATGACATTCCGTGACAATTTTCAAATACATATATGTACACAAAAAATACGAAAATTTTTATTCTACGTTAGAATTATTACTGATTATACACGGCCAATATTATTTTCAAAATATTCTCTTTGCAAAACACCACTATCTCAATTCTCACATTAATCGAAACTCGCTTAACAACCCTCCCTAAACAAACTAACCTAAAATTTCTTTTTCTCTTCTCTCTTTTCCAGTCGATCAGCTCCAATCGGAAATCACCGATCACTGCGATCCTCGAGATCGAGAGCGAAAGCTCGCCATACTCGCCGGCATCTTCCCCATTATCAGGCTCAACAGCGTTGATGACGTGGATCCTAGAGGAAGAGGCCTAGGCGTGACAGGGCCGGCAAGGAGCCGCGTGGTGGGCAGGTGAAAGGGGCACGTGGACAGGCGGCGAAAGAGAGGAGAAGAGAGCTTAGTGCAGCGTCGCCGAGGCAGTCACCAGGCATCGTGTACCACCCCCTGGCCACGGGGGGTGGGACAGAAAGACCGTCAGCGTGGGTGCCGGTGCTGCAGGGGCGCGCCTGGCCCGTCGGCTCGCCCGCAGATTAGCACGCCGATTAGCGGCTAGCTCGGGCCCGTTTCGGCGTACCGGCCTGGCGACCTCGGGGGGCCTCACGTCGGCGGCGGTGGCCGTGGCGGCCACGGGGGAGCAATCCGCTCCCCCAACAGCTGCGCCACGCCATACCACGCCGAACGGAAGCGCGAACGGATCGACCTCGAGCTCGAATCGCAAGAACAGAGCCATGTCCATGAGGAGCCTGCACCGGCGCGTCTCTCACCCGTAAGTCGTTAATTCTGTACTGTATACTTTAGCCTTGCCGATTATACCATTGGATTACACGTGACTGGCACGCGGATGGGATCGAGATTGGCACGGGCTGCTGGTCAGAAAGTTTGAAATCACTTGAATTAAATTTTCATTGTTAATTTTATGTTGATCGTCCCAATGTTGATTTAGTAATTTTGTTTACTTTAATTAATAGGTTAAACGTTCGAGAGAATTTTCTTCATTAATAATGTGTATGTGTTAATTTGAATCTCTTTGAATCCTTGGATGGAACAGATGCATTAGTGATTTCAAATTTTTGATAGTGTATGACGGTGTATGAGTCATTGGACATTTGGTGCATTTGGAATTAAGGAACGGATGAAGTTTTTTGAAGTAGAATTGGTTTTTATTAAATTTACATTTTTTTCGATAGATTTTAGTATGCATTTATATTGTTTAAGATTAATCAGTGTCCTGTGGCTTATGTAGCAGTATGAGAATTGCAAATTAGAATTGGAAAAGTTTGATGAAGCTTCAAGTAATAGAAACAAAAAGATTTTATGGTTTGTTTGCTAGGGTAATAAGAACTTAGAGAAAAAGAGATTAGAGTTTGTATAGAATCATACATTTTATAACAATGGTCATTTAATTCGCAAAGTTTTTTTTTTAGGTTTAAATGATTTATGAGAAAATATTATTATTCAGACATATTCGACATTTACATATTAATAAATAATCTTATATTATTTGATTGAAAAGTAATACGAGTAGTTTTAATTCAAAGATATCTCAAATATTAACAAATTATGAAAAAATACAGACATGTTTTTTACAAGATTTTTTTTATGAAATTTTTAAATTTATTTTTTGAAATTTTATAAAAATTTCTAGGAAACAAACAATTTAATCTTTTTCAGAATAAGTCTATAAAACATATCTCGATCCCATCAACCAACAAGATTCTTGTTTGATATAGAAATAGCTATAGAATTTAGCGTTTAAATTTGAGAACAGAAATCTGTTGACGCTTGGATTGATCGATTCGGTAAAGCAATTGTCTGGTAAAGATCCGGATTCGAGTAATAGTCCAATAATCCGATTGGACAATGTTTTTTTCTTATGAATTGAAGATAGGGAAAATGGTAAAGGAGAGAGATTTGAATGGTTTAACGTCGTTTAATTTCCTGTATCCGAACTTTCTTGTAACTGAGATCTCGTAGGCTTTTATAGTAAGAAAGTTTTATGTTTAAGAGGTTAAAGATTCCCTGTTATAAATTGTTTCCTCTTTAGAAAAATTTGACAAAAGTTAAAATATATTTTCATATAATTTTTTTTTCATTTTAATATATAATTATTTTTGCTATTTTAATTAAAAATTTTTTAAATTAAATAAAATCATAAGCTCATTATATTCAATAATATTATAATTTATTCAAATATTATTATAAAATAATTTTCAACTAGAAAAAATATCTTTTATTTTCCATATAATTTCCATAATTTCCACATAAACTGTTGGCCAATATAAATTCATCATATTTTTGGCTATTTCATTTTTATAGTATTATATTTAAAATTATTATTTTACTTTTTTGTAGAATTATATATATGAAAGATAATTCTATAAAAAATACAGTATTTATATAAATAATAAATTTTTATTTTTTTATTGTTAATACTATTCGTTTAATAAACAAAATATCATTTATTTCATAAATGACAAGTGACAATAAACGGAAGAAAAAGATTAATTTATAATATTAATCAGCAGTGTAGTTCATCTTAAATATGCCTGACTATATTTAGTATATTTTCCTTATTCAGTAGTATAGGTCAATCATATCTTCCTTACATACATTCTTTTTCACTCGAACATAATTATCAAAGTATTTTCGTTCAAATTTCAAATTAGATCTATAAAAATAAATAAATCGATCAATAATTCCACACATGAAATTTTAAAATTATTTTACTATTTATTCTATTTAAGACACTTCAAAATTGGGATTACATTCAACCAAAGATAAAAAGCAAACACATCGCGAAACTAAAAATTATCCAAGTAGAACTAAAAAGATCTCTTTTCAAGTGTTCCAAGCTTAACGAATATCAAACATTGTAGAACCAACATTCTTAACACCTCGTATTCATGTCTCATTGTACCAAGAGCGAGTAGAAAATGAAATCTACTTCTTCATTCACATAAATTTCCAAGTATCGTTGTCATTACGCGTGTTTTAAGCATTCATAAAATATATTCTCGATCTTTCACGCAAAATATCATAATGTACACAGCCGTACATTAAATTCTTGATGCTCGAACTCAATGTTGTTTCTTCAATCACTATTCATCAACTTCAATCAACAGATAATAGTAATAGTTCGATAAGCCCAAAATCTCTACATGTTTCTCTATTTTTATTATTATCTATACAATACAATAAATACTTGTAGTATTTCAAAATGGCAGGTTGAATCATAAAATTAATCTAAAAATAATCTAAAATTAATAAATCCTTTAAAGCTCACATGCAATCGAAGTGCAAGACAATTAACGAGAATCGATCGTTGGAAGACACGACTCATATTCGTTTAATTTTGGCCACAGATCATCCTCTTTTCGAGTTTGTTTTCTCTATTTTACAGCAATTAGTTTCAGAGGGATGCATTTATAAATATAACGATCGATCCGCATTTTTTCTAATCTAACCGGGTTAAAAATATTGTTCCTGGAGAGGATTCTCCAAAATGGTCGAAATCGAAGGATTGAAACGACGTTTCTTCAGAAAAGAGGAAAGAAAAAAAAAAAAAAGAACAAGCTTCTCGTTTAAATGGGGAACGATCGATTGGATGCAGGGGCGCACGATTCCCGAGGATCGTTCTTCCCGCAGATTTTCGCATGAATGAGATTCGCTTGGAAACGATCGACTACGCGGACCTTAATAATCGCCTCTCGTATGTCTGTCGACGAGATTTTTATTTCCTTTGTCGCGAATCTTCGAGTCGAGAAATTCCTTCCTTCTTACCTCTTCCTTTCTTCTTTTATGATTTATGCAAACGTCGGGGAAGTTTTTAGATTCCTTTCTCGTGCAATTTTTGCTCTCAAGTTAATATTGAATTATATATAACGAGGATGGAATTACGATACGGTTGGATAGTGTTTATTTCTCGCGTAAAAATAGAGATATTGGATAGAAGTTTTTTTTTATTGAGAAAATTTGTTGTTGCTTTAAGAGTGTTTATCGGGGTGGGAATTATTTATTGTCGGTTTTAAGTAGCGCGAGAAAGAAACTATTGTTGTCTGTGCAGGGACAGTCTTACTCCCCTTCGAGTTAACTCTATCTCCATCTCGCTTCGTCTAGTGCAAAATTAAATTGCTTGCAAAATAAGCTTCAATGGGACAATATTTTTATGCAATATTAATTTTTGTATTTATTTAGTCTTTCGAATAATTTTTTCAATTTTTTATCTATCTCGTTCCAATAATTCCTTCGTTACAAATTTGTAAACGATAGAAAGAATATTCTGCAGAAGAAACGATGCACAGATTTCAGAAGCTCCATTGAGTTTGTAAATTTGAATCTTCCTTCGTGATATGCAAGAGTAGCAGTAGCCGAAATGTGTATATTGACTAGATATCTGTTGAATAGTCAGACCTTTGATGAACTTCGGCGGTGGGGTAACGTTCCATCCTGAAATGATAGAATTTTCGAAATTGACTCCACTCAATGCAATGTTAGTCCAATATTTGGTAATGCAATATCGGTTTTATCTTAAGGATTCTAATATGGAGTCAAATGGTTTTCCTTAAATTAAACTTGTATATCTTCAATCACGTGTATCGTTAACTTAATAGTTTGGCATATGATAAAGAATCTATTAATATTGAAACATGACGATTAGAATGTGAAGATATAGATAAAAATCACTATAAAGATGTTTTCGCGATGACATATACGACGATCTTCTGTATAATTTTAAAAAATTTTAAAAGTGGAAATTGACTCACTGTGTTATTTATTTCGACGATACATTTTATCCAACTATTTAAATTCCTTATCAATAAAAAAATATCTTTTTCATTCTATTCATATATTCCTTTAAAAAGAGGATTCACTTTTAGAATAATCCGACTCGTGTCGCAAATCAGAGAGATTTCCTATTTTTTGACGCGTACTTTTTTTACAATCATATCACGAACTTTTCCACAAAATTTCACCCATCTCACTTTCCATCAGTGCTATTGTCATCAGTATGCATAGCTAATTTGCATTTCGTTGCATTTCCCAAATGTTTTTTCAACTTATCAATATCGAAACCCCTTCGATTTCTGGTGTCACATTGAACGCGTTAAACGCGGTCGATCACCGATTCTTTTCACGCACCGCCTCTCGCCTCATCCCCTCGGATCTTCAGAGATACACGCGTGCTCTTCGAGAGAGGGCGGTCTAAAAAAAGGACGCCGCGCGAAAATAGGCGTTTACCAGCGCGGCAAAGCAAACGCGCGTGAACAAAGTTAGCCGCGTGTTGCGCCTTTGAACGATACAAAACAGACTGGTGCATCGGTTAAAACAATTGCGGGGGGGGGGGGGACTATTCGTATAAGTTCGAAGGGAAGAATTGTCCACGCCTGCTAGGGAATTAATGAACGCGTGAGAAAATGTGAATGTCTTTCTCGAAGTCGAGTGAGATTTTATATATATTTTTTAAACAGTTCTTTCTTTAGACCAATTAATTAATCAGTTTTTATAATTATTGTTACATTATTCTTGGAAAAAGCTATCTGTTTTAGTCGTTCCTTATACAGAAAGATTATCAATTACTCTTTTCAAACTGATTCATTCGAACATTGAGCTTATCCATGTTAGGAAATTCATTAATTCATTTACATATCGATGGAATTTGAATGCAGATTTATTTTACCTATTGAATATCGCAATATGAACGTGTAAAAATTTAGTGGTAATTTAAATTAATCCATCTCCATTTCTACATACGCATACACCTTAGAG